GGTTTCTAACCATGCAACTGTTCAAGATATTTGCTCAGCCATATCACACCTGTAGGGTTCCAAAAGAAACCTCCTGAAGTAACCTCACTCTAATGCCAAAATAAAAATACATCAACAACCAAGGAAGGATGAAGGTGAAAGAAGAGAATAGAGATAGACATCAAGGGAAGAAGAAGAAGGTGAAAGAAGAAGGGAGAAGAAGGGAGGAAGAGAAAGTCATGTAAGGTCTAACTTAACCCCCAAGCACCTCTTCTTTCTATTATATTGATTATAAAACTTAAATATAAAAGTTCCCTTTAGGTGAAAAGAAGGACAAATAAGACCCTAGGGCTTAAAATACAATTAAAAGATAACTAGGAGCCAACATTCAGGGGGTATATAGCCCAAAATCCCTACTAAATCAGTTGTCACATGGGCATCATAAGGGAGTATAGGTGTTGCTAATCCAAAATCAGCTAATTGGGCTTCAAATTCTTCATATAAAAGTAAATTTCTCTATTTACCATTGCTATGGAGTATGTTGGGTTGGTAAGTTAGATGCAAATACATCAAGCCATGAGCTTCTCCTTGAGCTATACTAAGTCTACTGGCCAATTGGGCATTGATCCATCATTGAGCCTCACATGAAGGCAATAATCCAAACTCCTATTCTCCATGGAACACAAAGATGAAGTTGCTAATCTATTCCAAGTCTATCCAAACAACATATGTCCATACATACCTCAGCATAATGGTATAGGTGAGAGAAAAAACAGACACTTGTTGAATGTCACCTAAGCTCTTTTACTAGGGAAGCAATTCTCACAATAAACCGAATGCCCTCTCGTGTTCTAAAGGGAAACTCTCGTGCTGAAATTGTTCATCCCAACTTACCCATGTTCCTGTACCTCCCGAAGTGTTTGGTTGTATATGTTTTGTCCACATCCTTGGTCCAAAGAGGGACAAGCTTGATGTTAAAGCTTCCAAATGTAATTTTCTGGGGTACAAGTGTTATGATCCTATTACCAAGTTCCGTTATGTCTCTATGGATGTCACTTTCTTTGAATCTGTTCCATACTTCTCTGCAATAGGTCATGAGTGCTCTCTTCAGGGGGAGAATAAGATACAGTTTAGTGAAGAAATCACATTAGTTGTTCCCCTTCTTATTCCCACACCACTTTTATTTGAAGAGAGTTGTTTATCTGAAAGGAATGGTACGCATTCAGATGAATTGAGGACATATACCAAGAGGAGGAAAATGGTACAATCTGAAGTTCTAAGCAACCATACCTCAATTGCTAACCCAAAATCAGAAATAGCCCTTGACCCAAGTAACTTTTTCACCCACTTAGAGAATCCTAATTTGAACTTACCTATTTCTATTCGCAAGGGTACATCTTCTTCCACTCAACATTCAATAGGAAACTTCATTTCCTACAATTCTGTGTTTCTCTCTTATCGTGCCTTCATATCTTTCTCTCTGTCTTCTGTTAGAATACCTTGCAGTGTTACAGAAGCACTCTCACAACCTCAATAGAAAGGAAGGGATAGTCATCTCCCAGAATTGAAGTGGCAAGATCAAAGGAAGGGATAGTCATCTCTCAGAAAAAATGTGTTGGACATGTTACTACACATGGGTATGTTGGGATCTAAACCTGCATATATTCCTATAGAAGTCAATTATAAACTTCATGGAGAAAGGGGAGAGCTTCTCAAAGATCCTAATCAGTGTCGACGAATAGTGGGCAAGCTTATATATCTTATAATCACTCGATTAGATATTTCTTAAGCAGTTCTTGTGGTTAGCCAATTTATGCACGCACCATGTAAACCCCACCCCGATGTTGTGTGTAGAACATTAAGATATCTCAAGTTTGCACCATGGAAAGGGATATTTTCTCAAATCTGCTTGCATCTTGTTGTGAGCTAGAATCTCCTACTCGAAGACTCACATTTCTAGATCCCTCTGTGCTTATCCCCAAATCCTCTAATGTGTTGCCCTCCATGAATGTGGCACTTGTATTGAGGACATCCTGATGTTGAAATTTACACAAATGCTGATTGGGCTGGTTGCCAAAGTAATAAACGATCCACAACTGGCTATTGTAACTTCGTTTTGAGATACTTGGTTACTTGGAAAAGCAAAAAGAAAAATGTGGTGGCAAGATCAAGTACTGAAGCAGAATACAAAGCAATGACTCATAGTACATACGAAGTAATGTGGATCAAAATTGTTCTTTTTGAGTTGGGCGTTAGAGTTCGGCTTCCAATGACTATATATTGTGACAATGAAGTAGCCATTCATATCGTAAAAAATCCCATTTTTCATGAAAAGACTAAACACATTGAAGTAGATTGTCACTTTATCAGAGAGAATGTTGTTGCCAAGATTATTCAAACTCCTTATGTGAAGTCTAAAGATCATCTTGCAAATATCTTCACCAGAGCCATTGGACGAGATAGATTACATGATGTCACAAGCAAGCTGGGCATGATTGATATCTATGCACCTGCTTGAGGGGGAGTCTTGAAAATAAAAGGAATATGTTTTATTGTATTTGATGGTCAGAACTGTCATTTATCTTTTATTTAGCCTTTGTTTGTTTTATGTATCTAAATTAAAGAAGTATTGTTCATAAGTTGTAATTAGGGTTATTACTTAATGTTATAAGAGGGGTAGAGGTCATAAGTGACCTCTAAGCCACTCACTTTCCCTATCTATGTCTCACACGTCTCTCTCTCCCTTCTTCTTATTCATCATCTTTATTTTCTTTCCTCTCTTTTTCTCTCTAGATCCTATTAAATGGTTTTCTTCTCTACGTTAATTTCAACTGACGGCTTTTGCACATTTACAGAGAGGCAGGGAGAGCTAATCTCCCCCACTTCCACCAGTTGAAACCCTCTTGGAGACCCATTTCTGACTTTTTAGAGAAAGATTGGTCTTAGAGAGAGTTAGATAGAGAAAATGAGACATTTTTTCTATGGGGATGGGGGGGAAGAGAGGGAGATGAGAGGAAAGTTAGAGCCATGGGTTTCTTTTTCTTGGCCTTGGGTTTTCTCCGCAACTGTTTGAAGAAGAATGCTAGAGAGAGAAAATGGGGACTTTTGGAGCGCGAGAGAGAGAGAGAGATGAGAAAAAAGAGAAAATGAGACTTTTGGAGAGAGAGAGAGAGAGAGAGAGGTGGGTGGGGTGGGGCGGTGGGGCGACAGTGGAGAGAATGCAGGTGGGTAGGTGTCCATGTCGCCCCACCACCTCTTGCCAATCGTCCC